CTCAGCGTTTCGCGAAACGGACGCGGCTGAAAGGTGATGTTTGTTGCTTCATAGGCCCTGGAGAATACGATAGTTATATCATGTAAAATATCATTAGGGGCTATGAAGTAGGGTACATGAAGTAGTTATATCATGTAAAATATCATTATATACTATTTACTATCATTTACTATAGGGTTTATGGAAACTAAAATAAAATCTGATATAACTATAGTTTCTGGTTGGTGGTTGAGCCACCCCTCTGACAATTATGAGTCAGTTGGGATGATGACATTCCCAATTGAATGGACAGTCATAAAACTCATGTTGCAAACCACCAACTAGTATAGTTATGTCATGTTATATCATATCACGGATAACATGTGGATATAGTAGATATAACATGATACAACAGTGGATATAGTAGTATAACTATAGTTGCATCATGGTTTATCTAATATTTCCAATAGTTAAACTGGAGTTATTTGCACCAACTTATATATATATATAGGCAGGGACCTTTTGGTATAACGCGACCGTCCTCCTTGTCTCCCCATATTGTATTGCTGTTCTTTCTCTGGCTGCTCTCTCTCTCTCTCTCTTTCTCTTTCTGTTTCTCTTTTTTTTCCTCTCTCTCTCTCTCTCGCTCTCTTTCTTGCTGTTCTTTTCTCTGCGTGCATTTTTGGGCATACGATTCTCTTCGTCTCCCATCTGTGTCCCTACTTGTCTCCCTTGTTCTCTCCAATTTGTATCCTTAATTCCCTCACCATTGCTATTCTTCTCATTTCTTCTCTTAGGCTGCTTTCTGTACTTGTCTCTTAATTGTTGTGCTCGTCTCTGTGCGCTTTGGGACGAAACCTATTGTCCATTACATTCCCCCATCCTCGGTCTCTGCTTCCTCTTGTCTTTCCTCTTCCCTTTCTTTCCTTACGTGTTCATCTATTCTTTCCCAGTGCTTTCTTCACCCTCATTACAGTTGTTATCTCTGGGTGCTGTTAGGACCCAAGATTCTCCTTGCCTCCCATGTGTTCCAATTTGTGTCCTTATTCAGCCAATTTTTCTCCCTTTTCTTACTCCATTTTACTTTCCTACTCATTCTACTCTCTCCGTTGCTGTTTCTGTCTTGGCTTTAGAACCTTCAGGTGCTTTGGGGCCATAAACATTACCGAGTCCATCATCCGGGTCACCAGCATTTTGGGACGGAGAGGATAGTTTTTCTCCTCTTTCCTTTCTTTCCTTACTTGTTCCTCTAGTTTTTCCCAATGCTTTCTTCGCTTCTCTCCTCATTAATTACTGTTGTTCTCTCTGGGTGCTTCTGGACCCTGGACTCCTGATTCTTCTCGTCTCCCATTTGTGTCCGTGTTTGTTCCCCTTGTTCTCTCCAAGTTGTATCCTTCATTTCCTTCCCATTGCCATTCTTCTACCAGGCTGCTTTGGGAAGAATGGATTTCCTGGTCTTTGTTTCTCCCTACTTGCCTTCCTTTGTGGAAGTCTGCGTGCTTTGGGACGAAACCATACGAAACCCATTATCCGTTACTCCGTTACATTCCCTTACCCTGGGTCCCTACCATATGTTACCCTACTTGCCTTTCTACTAGTCCCCAACTTGTCTCCTTATCATCTCTCCACTACCGTGCTTCTTTCCAGGTCTCCAGCATTTGGGACGGAGAAGAGAGCTTTTATCCTCTTTCCTTTCTTTCATTACTTGTTGCTCTAGTCTTTCCCATTGCCTTCTTCACTTCTCTCCTCACTACCGTTGTTCTCTTTAGGTGCTTTTGGGACCCAAGATTCTCCTTGTCTCCCACGTGTGTCTAGGCTTTAGGACCTCTAGGTGCTTTGGGGCAATAAACATTCCCGAGTCCTTCATTTGTGTTGCAGTCCTCCTCTCTCCATTCCTTTTGTCCATCCCTGTTACTGTTCTTCTTCCTGGATGCTTCTGGAAACAGGATACTCTTCGTCTCTTCGTCTCCCATTTGTTTCCGTGTTCGTTCCCCTTGTTGTCTCAAACTTGTTTCCGTACTTCTCTATCTATTGCTATTCTTTTCTCTGGGTACGTTTGGGACGCAAAGTTCTCCTTGTTTTCCACCTGTTTCCGTGCTTGTCTCCCTTGTTGGCTCCTACTCCCTGCCTGAGTTCTCTTTCTCTGGGTGCTTGATGGCAGCGGATTCTTCTTGTCTGTCATTTGTTTCCATGCTTAGCTGCTTGTCTCCTTGTTTGTTCTACTACTCCCCCCCCCCGCGCTCAGTGTTCTTCGTTTGGTTGCTTTGGGTACAGGACTCTCCTTGTGTCCCATCTGTTTCCGCGCCCGTCTCTCTGCTTGTTCCCAACTTGTTTTGACACTTCTCTCTTCATTGCTGTTGTTCTCTCTGGGTGCTTCCGGCGCACAGGATGCTCCTTGTCCCTTGTCTGTTTCCGTACTTGTCGTCCTTGTTGTCTCCATTTCGTGCCCTTCTTTCTTTCTTTCTTTCTGTCTTTCTTTCTTTCTTTCTTTCTTTTCTGTCTTTTTTTCTTTCTTTCTTTCTCTCTCTCTCTCTCTTGCTGTTCTTCTTTCTAGGTGCTTGTTGGGACCCCTGATTCTTCTCGTCTGCCATCTGTTTCCGTACGTGTCTTCCTTGTTCTCTCCAAGTCGTATACTTGTCTCCCTTGTTCTCTCCAAGTTGTATCCTTAATTCCCTCCCCATTGCTATTCTTCTCTCAGGCTGCTTTGGGAAGAATGTTTCTCCCTACTTGTCTTCCTTCGTATAAGTCTCCTTGCTTGTCTCTCAATTGATGTGCTTGTCTCTGTGTGCTTTGGGACGAAACCTATTATCCATTACATTCCCTTACCCTCGGTTACTACCACATGTTACCCTACTTGCCTTCCTACTTGTTTCCAACTTATCTCCTTATCATCTCTCCACTACCGTGCTTCTTTCCGGGTCTGCAGCATGTGGCACGGAGAGCAAGGTTTCTTTCCTCTTCCCTTTCTTTCCTTACTTGTTCATCTATTCTTTCTCAGTGCTTTCTTCACCCTCATTACAGTTGTTATCTCTGGGTGCTTTTGGGACCCAAGATTCTCCTTGCCTCCCATGTGTTCCAATTTGTGTCCTTATTCAGCCAATTTTTTCTCCCTTTTCTTACTCCATTTTACTTTCCTACTCATTCTACTCTCTCCGTTGCTGTTTCTGTCTAGGCTTTAGAACCTTCAGGTGCTTTGGGGCCATAAACATTACCGAGTCCATCATTTATGTCCCTTCCGTCACCTTGTTGCAGTGCTCCTCTTTCCATTCCTTGTTGTCCCTCCCTGTTACTGTTATTCTTCCTGGGTGCTTCTGGGCACAGGATACTCTTCGTGGTGCTCGATGGCAAAGGATTCTTCTTGCCTCCCATTTGTTTCCATACTTGTCTCCTTGTCTGTTCCCAACTTGTTTCTTTATTTTTCTATCTCCATTGCGATTCTTCTCTCCGGGTGCTTTTGGTCAAAGGAATCTCCTCGTCTCCCGTTCCTCTCTCTCCATTGCTCAGTGTTCTTCGTTCTGGTGGGGACAGGACTCAAGTCTCATCTGTTTTCGTACTCGTCTCTCTACTTCACTCTCACATGTGGCTGTTCTCTCTGGGTGCTTCCGGGGGACAATATGCTCCTTGTCCTCTGTCTGTCTCCGTGCTTATCCCCCTTGTTCTCTCCAACTCGTGCCCTTACTTCTCTCTTTCTCTCTCTCTCGCTGTTCTTCTCTCTAGGTGCTTATTTGGACACATGATTCTCTTCGTCTCCCATCTGCTTGCGTACTTGTCTCCCTTGTTCTCTCCAAGTTGTATCCTTAATTGCCTCCCCCTTGCTATTCTTCTCATTTCTTCTCTTAGGCTGCTTTCTGTACTTGTCTCTTAATTGCTGTGCTTGTCTCTGCGTGCTTTGGGACGAAACCTATTATCCGTTACATTCCCTTACCCTCGGTCACTACCACATGTTACCCTACTTGACTTCCTACTTGTTTCCAACTTATCTCCTTCTCATCTCTCCACTACCGTCCTTCTTTCCGGGTCACCAGCATTTTGGGACGGAGAGGAGAGTTTTTCTCCTCTTTCCTTTCTTTCCTTACTTGTTCCTCTAGTTTTTCCCAATGCTTTCTTCGCTTCTCTCCTCATTAATTACTGTTGTTCTCTCTGGGTGCTTTTGGACCCTGGACTCCTGATTCTTCTCGTCTCCCATTTGTGTCCGTGTTTGTTCCCCTTGTTCTCTCCAAGTTGTATCCTTCATTCCCTTCCCATTGCCATTCTTCTACCAGGCTGCTTTGGGAAGAATGGATTTCCTGGTCTTTGTTTCTCCCTACTTGCCTTCCTTTGTGGAAGTCTGTGTGATTTGGGACGAAACCATACGATACCCATTATCCGTTACTCCGTTACATTCCCTTACCCTGGGTCCCTACCATATGTTACCCTACTTGCCTTTCTACTAGTCCCCAACTTGTCTCCTTATCATCTCTCCACTACCGTGCTTCTTTCCAGGTCTCCAGCATTTGGGACGGAGAAGAGAGCTTTTATCCTCTTTCCTTTCTTTCATTACTTGTTGCTCTAGTCTTTCCCATTGCCTTCTTCACTTCTCTCCTCACTACCGTTGTTCTCTTTAGGTGCTTTTGGGACCCAAGATTCTCCTTGTCTCCCACGTGTGTCTAGGCTTTAGGACCTCTAGGTGCTTTGGGGCAATAAACATTCCCGAGTCCTTCATTTGTGTTGCAGTCCTCCTCTCTCCATTCCTTTTGTCCATCCCTGTTACTGTTCTTCTTCCTGGATGCTTCTGGGCACAGGATACTCTTTGTCTCTTCGTCTCCCATTTGTTTCCGTGTTCGTTCCCCTTGTTGTCTCAAACTTGTTTCCGTACTTCTCTATCTATTGCTATTCTTTTCTCTGGGTACGTTTGGGACACAAAGTTCTCCTTGTTTTCCACCTGTTTCTGTGCTTGTCTCCCTTGTTGATCCATTGCTCAGTGTTCTTTGTTTTGGTTGCTTTGGGGAAAGGACTCTCGTTGTGTCCCATCTGTTTCTGCG